AGAGCAAGAGTCAGCGAGAGAGAGAGCCCCCCCCCCCTCGACCTTGACTCTTTTGTATTGAAGGTAAGTTCGTCTTGCTCATACGACGTAGTTGACGTAATTCCTTTGGACTGCTTTGTCTCTAGCATCGTGTGTGTGTGTGTGTGTGTGTATGTGTGTGTGTGTGCGCGCGACGAGGGCGGGAGCAGGCCTCCCGTCGCGGCGGAACCTGATGCCCCTCGGCCGGCCATCAGGAGGCAACCAGGCAGCGCCGGGGCCTCGCGGTGCCGCCCCAGCTGAAGCCGCTCGGAGGAACGACGCGCGAGTGCCACCAATCAGGCAGGAAGCAACACGGGAGTGCCAAGTCGAGTGCCTCCGGAATGGTGCGTATGCTCGGTCGTTGAATCAGATGATGTTATCGACGTCACTGCAGTACTAGCGCTGGCGGCATTCGTGGCGGGGGGGGGGGGGGGGGGGGGTGCGAAGAGGCGGCGCACTGACACTCTGGGAAATATATTTCCGAAGAAAGTTTGGCAAGAAGTTGAGCGAAAGACGAGTCTGCGTCGGGGACTGGGCGGACTTACGCTCGGACGCACGGAAGCGATGCCGCCACTTGCGCTGCTCGCGGGGAGACAAGCGCAGAATTAGTGTGTGTGTGTGTATAGATAGTACCACATGTAGATAAAGGTAATTGTATGGGTGTGAATGTTGACGATTGCTCTTTTTTTTTTTTATTAAAATCGCTGTTTGCGCTGGGGCTCGGAGGAGGGGGGGGGTTACTTTTTGCGGAATGGAAAAGTTCTCTCTCTCTCTCTCTCTCTCTCTCTCTCTCTCTCTCTCTCTCTCTCTCTCTCTCTCTCTCTCTCTCTCTCTCTCTCTCTCTCCCTCCCTCCCTCCCTCCCTCCCTCCCTCTCTCTCCCCCTCTCCCTCTCCCTCTCCCTCTCCCTCTCCTTCTCTCTTCCTCCCTCCCTCTCTCTCTCTCTTCCTCTCTCCCTCTCCCTCTAACACATTCACAACACCTTTCCAGTGCTGCAATTATCTGCCATAGAGTGCGGGGGGAGGGGGCGGGGGGCGGGGGCTATGCCAAACTGCGCCAACCCACGGCCTAAGGAGGGAAGGTCGACGCGGCTTAATGTACGTCACAACAGCAAGATGACAGGTCGCCCCCCCCCCCCCCTCCTCCTACTGCATTTCTGTGTGGAAACTGCTGCAAGAAACATGGCAACATATGGGCCTGGGCTGGCTGAGGTGCTGCGTGCGTGCGTGCGTGTGTCAGTTCGTGTGTTTGATGTGTCGCGTACACGGCCGCGTCCTGGTGTATCATGCTGCCGCTGCTTCCCTCGGCCGCTGCTGCCTGGCGCATCTGCAGGTCGCGTCGTGCGGCTTCGGAATCCCTCCCTTGCTCAAGCCGCGCTCTGTAATCTTTGTTTTTATTTTTAGTAACGCTGCTTCATTTATTATTTTAGTGCAAAATATGACACATTATGTTAGCTCATAATTTTTGTTTTTTATTGTGATTGTTGTCTTATCATCATTGTTGTTACCATTGCTACTACTACTACTACTACTACTACTTGGTCTGCCTCTACATCTACTATTGCTGATATTATTAACATCTCCGTCTTCCTCTGAGACCATTTCCCTCACGTTCTCTCCGAGCCGCCCGCCACGGTATCTTGCGCTGCCCGCGACTCGAGGCGCCTTCCGCGTAGGTTCCGGCGAGGGCGTGGATTTCTCGCCCTCGCCCTCCCCGGTGGGCGGGGCAGGGCCGACGGGCACCCAGTGAAGCAGATATTGATAGCCAAACAATAATGGGACAGCCCTTTGAGCCGAGGACGTTTTATTTTGTCTTTGGAGGGAGGGTTGAGGCGAGCGCAGAGGTGATGTGAATGCCTTGCCGGCTGGATGTGAAGGCGGAATGACGTGCGGAGGTAATTAGTGAGGGCTGATGGAGTTGCCTGCGGGCGTTAATCACCCTCTCTGCCGACCCATTACGGCGACGGGAAAAGGGGAATGGCGGGCGGGCGGGCGGGGGAGGGAGAGAACGAGGGAGGGAGGAAGATAGGGAGAGGGAGAGAGAGAGGGGGCGAAATGATTTACTTTTCAACCAGCTAAGCTCCGCCTGTCGTTTTGGAACCCACCAGGAACCGTCTCCAGAGCCCCTTGCATGCCCATGGCCATCACTCCTGCCCCGCGCGCCCGCAGGCCCGACCGCGCCCGCGCCTCCGTGCGAGACGCCGGTCAGCGCGCGAGTCGATTTCTGGGCCTGTGACGTACGTCGCGATTTCCCGCAGGTGACGACGCCGACGTAGATTTGCTTGTTTGTATCATTGATGTTCTGTTCATTTCCTTATCTATTGGTTTATTGTTTAAGGGGACATTTACTTTGATATTTGAATATGAGATGGATGTCGCCAGCCCTGAATGAGTCACCCAAATGATAAAGATCTACCGAAGAAATTTAGCATCTTTGCAACTAAGGGCGCATAAGACTGCGTTAGTCATGTGCGGAGCCTTACGTGATCAGATAATTGGCAAGCTGTGTTGGCGCGGCATTGTTGGGCGGGCACGAAGCTCCTGCGGTCAGAGGCGGCTGCGCCTGCGGGAGGCCGTGGCACCGTGACCGGGCGGGCCGCAGGGGGGTGGGGGTACTTGACGACGCCGCTTTGAATGTGCTTCTCCGCCTCTTCGAGGTTTATTTGTATCCAGTCGGTCTCTTTCCTCGGGTTTATTCTATTTCAGTCTTGCTGTCATATTCTCTATGTATTTGTTTATTCACTGTTTTCACTGTGCAAATATAATCTGCAAACAGCGCTTGGCTTAACCACAAATCTCCGTCAGCCCCAACGCGTAAGAAGGAAATAAAGTTAAGATAACGAGTAAAGGCCAAGCAGAGCTTTGGCTCGGACTCTCCTGAAGGGAGACGAGCGCGCCAGGGCGAGGGGAGCCAAGGAGTCCGACGCAGGCGAAGGCTCGCCGGGGACGGGGCGGAAGGCAGACAAGAGTCCGTCCCGGGTGAGGCCGCTCTCTTGGGGGAGGAAAGGAGGAGTGGGCGACGCAGAGGAGAGGGAGGAGGAGGGAAAGAAGAAGAAGGTGCGGAGCGAGGGGGGGGGGAGGGCGGAGCGACGAAAAGGGGGTGAGCAGCAAGGGAGATGAGGGATGGGGGAGACGAAGAGGAAGCGTAAGTAAGGATGGAAAGGAAGGAGGCGCGAGGGAAGGCAAAGCAGAAGGGTGGAGGTGGGGAGGAAGAGAGAGGGGTGGTAGGGAGTAAGGGCTGTCTCCGAGCCAAGTAGATTAAAGATGTAGAAAGGGAGAATATAGAAATAGTAACGGTGAAGCAGAGGGAGAGGTGGAGTAACCTGCTGAGGGAGAGGCAAAGAGATGAAACTGTAGGAAGGACGAGACAGAGAGATATAGGGAAAGGGTGGAAGAGAGAGGAAGAGAGAGTGGGGCAGGGAGACAGTAAGGGCGAGGACGATGGAATGAGAAAGACTTGCTGGCAGAAGGGAGAGAGCAAGCGAGCGCCCTCCTCGTCCCGGACGCCATCTCGGGTCCTTGCGACTGCGTCCCCGGCCGCAAGGCTTCCCCCTGCGGCGCGTCCTGCCGCATGCCCGAGCCCCACTGCCGCGGCCGCAGGAACGGACGCCGCCGCTGATTTATGGATTGGGCTTCGGGGATCGGCCAAGGATTATAGCGGTACACCGGGGAAGCAAAGACGGGTCTGAACGGATCAAAGTGATGATTTAGGAGGCCACCTGGTCCAGACGCCCGCCGTGCTTGTGGATGCGCGCGCGAGCGTGCGGTGTGTATGTGTGCGTGCGTGCTTGCGTGTGGGGGGGGGGGGCGATAAAAGATGTAAAGAGAAGTTAGGACTGCCATGCCATGAAGGCCAACATATGTCGGCTGGGGGCGCAAGGGCGAGGGAGGAGACGCAGAAGGCGCCGAAGCTGTTGGCGAGGCTGGCGAGCGGAAGGGCGCTCTGAGTGCGAGTGCAGAGAGCGAAGGCCGCGCGGGAGTGGCGAGAAGAGAGAACGTAGAAGGCGATCTTTATTTCTTACTTATGTATTTTTTCTGTAATACTGATCCGCAGAGTCGACTGTTTTGGCCTTATTTACTGTAGATAATATACCGTAATTTTCTAAAGGATCCCGTGTCGTAAATCGTCCCTTCGTTGCCTCCGCAGCTCTTGCGTGTTGCGCGTGCAATGGCATCGCTGTCACGCGTGCCAGCTGGGGCGGGAGGCCGAGCGACGTGTCCGTGACAAGTGTGGTTACAGCGAACCCCCTCTCGAAAGGCTGTTATTCCAGAACATCGTGACGCCGACCGATACCTTTGCTGTTGCACAAGCATAGCAATGGCCTCAGCTTATTGTTGTTATTACATCCTGTGCATGCTTGCGTCCCTCCTCCGACTCGCGCGGTGCCGCTCGGGCCGTGCAGGTATTGATTCCGGAGGAGCCTCGAGCCGTGCCACATGACCTTCGTACCAGGAAACCGGTCGCAAGGAAGCCAGTTATTTTCTTCTTTTGGGAGGGCTTCTTAACGCCGCTTTTCTTCGCTTCCTCCTTGCCCACCTTTCGCCGTTTCCCTCTATTTCCCGCTGTCCCCCTTCCGTTGTGCTGCCTTCGTTGACCGTTATTCATTCCCGTATTATTGCTGTTGTTGTGTTGCGTCTTCCCTTCTTTCTTTCTCCCTCTTTGCTTGCCACCAATAATCTCCCTCCCCCTCCCTCCCCCTCCCTCCCTTGCCTCCCCTCCCCATCTCCTTCGCGCGCGTCCTGCTTCGCGGTGCCAGCGACGCCGCCGCCGCCGTCTCGCCTATTGAGGCGTGGGAAGCCCGGGGGAAGTTGGAGAGGGCCCTGCAAATGCCAAAGGCGCACCCCTGGCGACGCCGCGCCCGCCCTTGCCCTCGCTCCCTCCAGAAGGGCAGCGCAAGGCCAGGGAGCTGCGCCTCCCCCTGGCCTGCCTTCCGTGCCTTAGTGTGGCGCTTGGGAGGCATCCTGCTGCCAAACTGATTTGTTTGAAGCAATGGGCTGGAGGAAGACGTTACCGTATAGTGAAATGCGCGCTTAAATGACCGTAGATT